AGGAGGTGAGAGGTAGGTGTCCTGATGTCTGTGTATTAGGAGGAGGTGAGAGGTAGGTGTCCTGATGTCTGTGTATTAGGAGGAGGTGAGAGGTAGGTGTCCTGATGTCTGTGTATTAGGAGGAGGTGAGAGGTAGGTGTCCTGATGTCTGTGTATTAGGAGGAGGGGAGAGGTACGTGTCCCGATGTCTGTGTATTAGGAGGAGGGGAGAGGTAGGTGTCCCGATGTGTTTGTGTGTGTATTAGGATTGATGTCTGTGTATTAGGAAGTGGGGAGAGGTAGGTGTCCTGATGTCTGTGTAGTAGGAGGGGGTGAGAGGTAGGTGTCCTGATGTCTGTGTATTAGGAGGGGAAAGGTAAGTGTCCCGATGTCTGTGTATTAGGAGGTGAGAGGTAGGTGTCACGATATCTGTGTATTAGGAGGAGGGGAGAGGTAGGTGTCCCGATGTGTTGATGTGTGTGTAAGTTTCCCGATGGTGTATTAGGAGGTGAGAGGTAGGTGTCCCGATGTGTATGTATTAGGAGGAGGGGAGAGGTAGGTGTCCCGATGTGTTTGTGTGTGTATTAGGATTGATGTCTGTGTATTAGGAGGGGAAAGGTAAGTTTCCCGATGTCTGTGTATTAGGAGGTGAGAGGTAGGTGTCCCGATGTGTATGTATTAGGAGGAGGGGAGAGGTAGGTGTCCCGATGTGTTTGTGTGTGTATTAGGATTGATGTCTGTGTATTAGGAGGGGAAAGGTAAGTTTCCCGATGTCTGTGTATTAGGAGGTGAGAGGTAGGTGTCCCGATGTGTATGTATTAGGAGGAGGGGAGAGGTAGGTGTCCCGATGTGTTTGTGTGTGTATTAGGATTGATGTCTGTGTATTAGGAGGGGAAAGGTAAGTTTCCCGATGTCTGTGTATTAGGAGGTGAGAGGTAGGTGTCCCGATGTGTATGTATTAGGAGGAGGGGAGAGGTAGGTGTCCCGATGTGTTTGTGTGTGTATTAGGATTGATGTCTGTTGTATTGTGACAGTGTAGTATAAAACACTGCAGTAAATGGGAATCTATAAAAAAATAGCAAAACAGTGACTATTGATGAGTTTGAAAATATGTCCTAATTAGCAACATTTGCATTAAGTAATTCATTTCAATTTGCTGCAACATGCAGAAGGCTCACAGATGTCACTTACCCACCTGCCAGTGAAAACACAGCCTTGGCAAGTAGAATCCCCCTTGCTGAGGATGCCATGGACCCCCAGGCTGGCAGTGGGCAGTTGCCGGTAGTGTAAGACTTGGATTGTTGAGCCCTGAGATCCAGTGGTATCGTGATTAGATCCCAAAAAATCAATAGTCAGGAATTCGATGCTTTCCTAATTGTAGGGAACAACCGCTGACGCTGTTGGCTAATTTGGCCTAATCTTTGAAATTTACTTTGAATTTACTCAGAATTCTGTGACATTTCATACTTTAGAGAGTTATTTACTACAGTGAGAATTCAAAGCTAATTTGAAATTTAAAGGGACACTACAGACCCCTAAAGCAGTTTAGCTCTCTGAAAAGCTTTATGTGTGAAGAGCGTGTCCTCTTTATTCATTTTGCAAAAAAATAGAGATTTCAATAGAAATTCACACTTTTTTTTATAAATTCTACTGGTTACACCCCCTGGCTGGTCTTGTTACTTCCTGGTTTGGTTAGCTCAGTGGAAGTAAACCCAAGAGGCAGAAATTGCCCAGAGCACCTGCCTTGCAAAGACTTCCCATTGAGCTGCATTGGGGAGTCTGTGATTGAACAGACACAGAAAGTTGGGGCGGGATTAGAAGGGGAGGGCTTGCAGAGGCTTCAGACAGGAGATCTTCAGCTTTTACAAGCTGTTTTTAGATATAACTCCAATAAGAAAAATGCATTATTAAATGCATGCAAGTTTGCATTGGGGGTATATCTGCTAAACAGTGATTTTTATTTATTTTGTATTTGGGCAGTGTACTGTCCCTTTAATGTCATTATAGCCAATCTGGAAAAAAATCTCTAATTCAGCATGCTTTTCAGTCACATTGGAGATTTTTTTATAAATCAGTGCTGTTCCTAATCAGATTATTCACTGCAGTGGGGTCCTTTGAGAATAACTCTGACAGTAATTCTGAAAGTGTTAGTCTGTGCTGCTATACTTTAGTGGTGATTACTGTAAAAATTAATTAGTTGATCCCTATGTGATAACCCGGTCACTAACGATATCAGGCTTTCTAGATGTGTGTCACCATGATCCCTCATTTAATGAGTTTGGAGGCTGCTGGTCCCTATTTAATGTACTGTAAAAACAGAAGTCGAGGTGCAGTATGGTGATCAGTGACCAGCATGTCTTACTGTCCAGTTTTTCACACTGTGCATCTAACTGAAGCCTAGTTTAGTAAGGTCTGTATGGGGTTTAACCGTTCCATATGTGCTTTGATAAGTTGTGTCTATCCAATTGCTATTGGCTAACACTTGGTCACATTTTTAGGGTTCCCTGTGGACGAGCCAGTGAATGTCAGGGGAAGACCGTGGCACGATGTCACAGAGCATGATGCGGAAGGCGCAGCCTTTTACTATTGGAACCAGGCTATCTCTGCCCAAGTGTGCGGAGTTTTCCAATGCTGGGCCTGCTGGGGTTCCTTTGGACAGCTGTCTTCTACCACAGACTCTCAATGAACGTGTTTCTCGGTACCTGACTCAGACTTGTCCCTCGTCCCTCAGTGTCTCTCCCCCACACATGAAGATGGTGCCTGCTCACAGGCTTCATGAGGACTTTTCCGATAAAGATCAGCTAATTCAGGGATCTCTTGCCCGTTCCATCAAAAAGATCACCCTGTCCAGCAAAAGTGAAGACACTATGACACATGGCATGGTAAGAGTGAATGCCAGAGCTCTGACCCAAAACTGCCATGGGAATTTCAATAACAACAATAGCAGGCCTTTGAGGGATTCTGTGCCAAGGATACGTGGATCTCCACATCACCACACAGGGAGGGACTCTGTGCCAAGAATCGGTGGATATCCATGTTACCACGCAGGGAGGGATTCTGTGCCAATAATCAGTGGATCTCCATGTCTTCACACAAGGAGGGATTGTGTGCCAATAATCGGTGGATCTCCATGTCACCAAGCCACAAGGAAATCCATTGCAAGGAGTGATGGCTCTCCTTGCAGTCAAGTGTTTATAGAGTCTGTGACACCACTTAGTGGTTCTCCACATCACCAGACTTTGAGAGATGTTAGTATGAGGACCACTGGGAAAGAGGGCCACAAGACAACCACAGATCAGGTCAAGGTAAGCGTTTTTCTAGTTACTAAATGTTATTAGCATTTATTGGCAGAGAAAACTGATATAGCCTTTCATTTTGGCATTATCAGCAGGCTTCTTTTCGTAATATCAGGTCCAAATCAGGAGCTTGCCCTTGCACCTCACAATCTAATGGGCACTATGGTAGCTCTAGATTAAGGTAGAAGTGTTCAAAACTGTATGAGAGTTTTACAGTACTCATTAAGCATGCCTTCCATGTGGGACTTTGATCAGGCAGAAAGTGATATGGTATTAAAACATGTCCCGTGAGAGAGGGCCATGTATGTAACATACCTGAAGGGCAACCACAAACAACACACAGCTTACATGGGGCACATGACCCAGAAACCCCAAGTTTAAGCAGTTGTGCTTTGCAATGCGTTCCTTTCCTATTCGGTGATAAATGGGTCAGATTGAGCAGATCCTAGAGCGGGGAAAATTGTCTTTTTCTCGATTTTGGGGGTGAATCTTAGATTTTAACTGTATTTCGTGTGCACCTGTCTGTAGTACCTAGTGGTTCTACATCTGGCCTCAGCTCACCTTATTGGGATGAATTACTCCAATTAAAGACCAAACTAATCATATATGGTTGCAGAATGTCTGTCAACCCAGGGTTTGTTTGAACCTACAGGGGGCAGAATCCCCCCCCACATACCCAGTTCCACCAAGAGACTTAGTGCCCTCTACACCCCCAGTGCCACTGAGACTTAGTGCCCTCCACATACCCAGTGCCACCCACACACCCAGTGCCACTGAGAGACTTAGTGCCCTCTACACCCCCAGTGCCACCCACACACCAGTGCCACCTACACACCCAGTGCCACTGAGACTTAGTGCCCTCCACACCCCCAGTGCCCCCTAAACACTCACTGACCCCAACACCCAGTGCCCCAACACACCCAGTGCCCTCTAAACACTCACTGACCCCCACACACTCAGTGCCCCCCACACACCCAGTACTGCCCACACACCCAGTTCCCCCTAAACACTCACTGACCCCCGCACACCCAGTACTGCCCACACACCCAGTACTGCCCACACACCCAGTGCCCCCACACACCCAGTGCCCTCTAAACACTCACTGACCCCCACACACTCAGTGCCCCCCACACACCCAGTACTGCCCACACACCCAGTTCCCCCTAAACACTCACTGACCCCCGCACACCCAGTACTGCCCACACACCCAGTACTGCCCACACACCCAGTGCCCCCACACACCCAGTACTGCCCACACACTCACTGACCCCCACACACTCAGTTCCCGCCCACACACCCAGTTCCCCTTAAACACTTACTGCCCCCCACACACCCAGTACTGCCCACAAACTCAGTGCCCCTCTGCCACACCCACTCTACAATAGCACAGAGCAGAGAATGTGACTCTCAAACGGTTGTTTTTTATGGAATTTAAAGTAATTCCAGATATTTTCCAGTGATCTGTTGAGCAGCTCTAATTATTTTGGGAGAATATGAAAAACATAAAACATTTTTTTAACTCTGAAAATATACCGGGACAAATCCACCAGAATATTAATACAGTCTCTCTAATACTATTCATTTATTTATACGTAGCCTGTCTCTTTATACGCAGCCTGTCTCTCTTCATACCCAGCCTGTCTCTCTTCATACCCAGCCTGTCTCTTTATACGCAGCCTGTCTCTCTCTTTCCCAGCCTGTCTCTCTCTCTTTCCCAGCCTGTCTCTCTCTTTCCCCAGCTTGTCTCTCTCTCTCTTCCCCCAGCCTGTCTCTTCCTCTCTATACCCAGCCTGTCTCTCTCTCTCTTTCCCCAGCATGTCTCTCTCTCTCTCTTTCCCCAGCATGTCTCTCTCTCTGTCTTTCCCCAGCCTGTCTCTCTCTCACTATACCCAGCCTGTCTCTCTCTCACTATACCCAGCCTGTCTCTCTCTCTCTTTCCCAGCCTGTCTCTCTCACTATACCCAGCCTGTCTCTCTCACTATACCCAGCCTGTCTTTTCCTCTCTATACCCAGTCTGTCTCTCTCTCTTTCTCTGTACCCAGTCTGTCTCTCTCTATATACCCAGTCTCTCTTTCTCTCTCTCTCTCTATATATATATACCCAGTCTCTCTCTCTCTATATATATATATATACCCAGTCTCTCTTTCTCTCTCTCTCTCTATATATATATACCCAGTCTGTCTCTCTCTCTGTTCCCAACCTGTCTCTCTCTCTATACACAGTCTGTCTCTCTCTATACCCCGTCTGTCTCTCTAGCTCTCTGTACCCAGCCTGTCTCTCTTTATTTATATATATACCCAATCTCTCTCTCTCTATACCCAATCTCTCTCTCTCTCTATACCCAGTCTGTCTCTCTCTCCATACAAGGTCTGTCTCTCCCTTTGTTCCCAGCCTGTCTCTCGCTCTCTCTCTATACCCAGCCTGTCTCTTCCTCTCTTACACCACCTGTCTCTCTCTCTCTATACCCAGCCTGTCTCACTATAACCAGCCTTTCTCTCTCTCTGTTCCCAGCCTGTCTGTCTCTCTCTCTCTCTCTCTCTCTCTCTCATCTTGTCTCTCTCTATATATACCCAGTCTGTCTCTCTCTGTCTGTACCCAGCCTATCTCTCTATACTCAGTCTGTCGCTCTATACCCAGTCTCTCTTTTTCTCTCTATACCCAGGCTGTGTCTCTCTCTCTCTATACCAGTCTGTCTGTCTCTCTCTCTCTACCCAGTCTGTCTCTCTCTCTCTCTCTGTACCCAGTCTCTCTCTCTATATATACAAGTCTGTCTCTCTCTCTCTATATATATATATATATACCAGTCTGTCTGTCTCTCTCTCTCTCTCTCTTTCTACCAGTCTGTCTCTCTCTATATATGCCAGTCTTTCTCTGTCTATATATAACAGTCTCTCTCTCTATATATATATATAATCAGTGTCTCTCTCTCTACCCAGTCTCTCTCTCTCTCTCTCTCTCTCTCTATATATATAATCAGTGTCTCTCTCTCTCTCTATACCCAGTCTGTCTCTCTCTCTCTCTATACCCAGCTGTTGTCTCTCTCTCTCTATACCCAACTGTTGTCTCTCTCTCTGTACCCAGCCTGTCTCTCTCTATACCCAGCTGTTCTCTCTCTATACCCAGCTGTTGTCTCTCTCTCTGTCTGTACCCAGTCTCTCTCTCTCTATATACCAGTCTGTCTCTCTCTCTCTTTCTACCAGTCTGTCTCTCTCTATATATGCCAGTCTGTCTATATATAACAGTCTCTCTCTCTCTCTCTCTCTCTCTCTCTATATATATATATATATATATATCTGTCTATACCCAGTCTGTCTCTCTCTCTCTGTACCCAGCTGTTGTCTCTCTCTCTCTGTACCCTGCCTGTCTCTCTCTATACCCAGCTGTTGTCTCTCTCTCTCTCTCTCTCTCTCTCTGTACCCAGTCTCTCTCTCTCTCTATACCCAGTGTCTGTCTCTCTATACCCAGTGTCTCTCTCTCTCCGTACCGTGTTTCTCTCTCTCTCTCTCTCTCTATACACACACACACACACACACACACACACACACACACAGTCTCTCTCTCTGTGTACCCAGTCTGTCTGTCTCTCTCTCTCTCTCTACCCAGTCTGTCCATCTCTCTATACCCAGCTGCTGTCTCTCTCTCTTTACCCAAGTCTGCAAGTCTGAGTCACGTCTGAGTCTGTATGGCTCATATTCCGAGCGCACACATTGAGTTGGGAAATGCTGGCTATAATGTTCAGTCTGCCTGTAGGGGGCGCCAGCTGTAGCTGCTGGGGATGTGAGATGTGTTCATGGAGCAGGAATGGCTGTGCAGTGGGAGAATGATGTCATGTGGAATGTGACAGACTGATGAATGAAGCTGTGGTGAAATTTAACCCTTACTAAGCCAGCCTGGCTTTCATTAATCAGAGACTTCCGAGGCCAGTTTAAACCGTTCAGAAAGTGTTTCGAACATATGCAATACAATAAATAAATATATATATTCCGTATAATAATTATATAGCCATCCCAAATGCCGTCCTCGTATTCTGCCATTAGTGGTTTTACCGTCTTTCTCAGAATGGACATTTTTTGGCCTTTGTTTTGTGTATTGTGGCTCTGTCTGCGCTGTTTGTCTCGGGGATACAAAACATCGCAGGACAGTAACAACGGAAAGTTTTGAAGAATAATTTGTAGCCGGATTAGACTGTTTTCTAACGAAGGCCAAACATGTCTCCTAGAAATGGGAATTCTCTCTCCCTCAGATTATCTAAAGGGCGAGAAAGGGTCTGAGAGTCCCATTATAGTCAGCGGCACGGGCTGTACAGTGCGGAGCAGGTATTTTACCCGCGGTGACTTACTCCCAGCACAGTTCACAGCACGATACATTATACGGTTTATTATTAGCATCTCGCCAAACGTGACAGAACTTCGCAATATAAACTGCATAAAACACATCTGGAATTTTACCTTAAATTAATGTGTGATCCCTAACGGCGGAGCAGAAACACAGCAGCGTACATGTGACATGTTTACATTGAAATGGACTGGTACATATGTGTAAATGTTTCCAAATGTTTTGAAAGGAGCCCCATGTGACGGGGAAGCAAGGAATGAGCATTTCCTCTTCAGTTAAACAGGACGTGGGATATTCAGACAAAATCACAATCCCGTTTCTTTTTTTAAACCAAGATTGGTGAATGAGACCAGCACCATCATAACAAGTCAGTAACTGGTTATTTACGTGAGCCAGCCCTGAGCAGTGTGAGACCTACAAAACCCCGAGGTTCCCATTAACATAATGTCACAGGGAAATTTATTGTAGTTTTAATTAAAAAAATTGATAATTTTGTTGTGTGTTTTCTTCCAAACACGATCAGACGCAGAGTATTTCCCCTTCTCGCTATTTGTAGGCGTTCGCTATGTAAAGACAAAATTTTAACCTTGGATTCGGTGAATGGCGTGGGATCGTCTGTCTCTAGGTGTTTGTCAGATCCAGTAATGATAAAATCTCTGCTAATTACACCCATTCTAGGAAAAACCCCTGGCTGTTTATCAGTTGTTTGATTTGAAGATTCTCTAGCACCATAACTCAAAAAATCAAAAACACGACTGAAAATCCATTTACTCAAAACAAGTTCTAAACAGAGAATGGAGGGCTCTGTACGATGGAGATCTTACGGTCTCAAGTCTAATACTGGATTCATCAAAGCACTAAACAATCCACAGTATCTACAATAGCTGGCTGCATGGACATGTACTACACTTGGAATAGCCAGGGCAAAGGGACAATGGGACCTCGAATAGGATTACTCAGAGATCGCAAGTTATTATTATTATTATTGCCATTTATATAGAGCCAACAGATTCCGTAGCGCTTTACAATATTATGAGAGGGGGATTTAACTATAAATAGGACAATTACAAAAAACTTACGGGAACAATAGGTTGAAGAGGACCCTGCTCAAACGAGCTTACATTCTATAGGAGGTGGGGTGTAAAACACATTTGGACAGGAATTTGCAATCAAATAAGGTGGGCTGCCCTTTAGGAGAGAGCAAGAGACAGGTATGTAAGGTAGAGGATACTCTGGGAGGCCATAAGCCTCAATCCAAGGTACTAATTCACACCTATAAAGCAGTGAACAACTCTAGCCCCTCTTATATCTCCTCACAGATCCATAGATATGTCCCTTCTCGGTCTCTCCGCTCTGCCCGTCACCACCTCCTCCTGTAAAGAGATGGGTTTTAAGGCACTTCTTAAAAGATGCAAGACTAGGGGAGAGTCTGATGGCGGTAGGCAGGCTATTCCATAGGAAGGGAGCCACCCGTGAGAAGTCCTGCAAGCGTGAGTTGGCCGTACGGGTGCGGACAACGGACAGGAGGTGGTCACGGGCAGAGCGGAGAGACCGAGAAGGGACATACCTATGGATCTGTGAGGAGATATAACCCTTACTAAGCCAGCCTGGCTTTCATTAATCAGAGACTTCCGAGGCCAGTTTAAACCGTTCAGAAAGTGTTTCGAACATATGCAATACAATAAATAAATATATATATTCCGTATAATAATTATATAGCCATCCCAAATGCCGTCCTCGTATTCTGCCATTAGTGGTTTTACCGTCTAGGTGTGAATTAGTGCTTTGAATTGACTCCTATAGCACACAGGTAGCCAATGTAAGGACTGGCAGAGGGGTGAGGTGTGAGAGAAACAACTAGAGAGGAAAATCAGTCTGGCAGCAGCGTTCTTTACGGACTGTAACGGACTGTAGCTTTTGGGAAGACCAAGCAGGAGAGGGTTACAATAATCCATGTGGGAAATTACTAGAGCATGGACAAGCTCCTTGGTAGTATCTGGTGCAAGAAAGGGGCGGATGCGGGCTATGTTTTTAACATGGAATCTACAGGATTGGCAACATGCTAGATGTGAGGCTCAAAGGTGAGGCCAGAATCAAATAAACACCAAGACAGCGCGCTTGCAAGGATGGACTGATGTGGGTACCACAAACTTGAAGTCTCCAGTATTTTGTTGAAAGTAACCTAGGCCCGCATTGCTGTGTTCAGAGTATACGGACAGCTGGTCTCACTGGCACAAGAAATGCAAACTGGCCTCTGCATATGTAGAGGTCAGAACTACAATCATAAATATATCCAGGATACCATGAAGTAGTCTGTAACAGTCAATATTAGTAAAGTTTACATTCTTGTTACGTATTGTACTGCATTCTCTGACTCTGCCCCTGGAAGGGGTCAGTAAACTTTACATTATTGTTACATTGTACTGCATTCTCTGACTCTGCCCCTGGTAGGGATTATTAATCTTTACATTATTGTTACATTGTACTGCATTCTCTGACTCTGCCCCTGGTAGGGATCAGTAAACTTTACATTCTTGTTACATTGTACTGCATTCTCTGACTCGGCCCCTGGGAGGGATTAGTACATTTTACATTATTGTTACATTGTACTGCATTCTCTGACTCTGCCCCTGGTAGGGATCAGTAAACTTTACATTATTGTTACATTGTACTGCATTCTCTGACTCTGCCCCTGGTAGGGATCAGTAAACTTTACATTCTTGTTACATTGTACTGCATTCTCTGACTCGGCCCCTGGGAGGGATTAGTACATTTTACATTATTGTTACATTGTACTGCATTCTCTGACTCTGCCCCTGGTAGGGATCAGTAAACTTTACATTATTGTTACATTGTACTGCATTCTCTGACTCGGCTCTTGGAAGGGATTAGTACATTTTACATTTTTGTTTCATTGCATTGCATTCGCTGACTCTGCTCCTCGTAGGGATTAGTAAACTTTAGATTCTTGTTGCATATTGTACTGTATTCTCTGACTCTGCCCTTGGTAGGGATCAGTAAACTTTACATATTGTTACATTGTATTGCATTCTCTGACTCTGCCCTTGGTAGGGATTATTAAACTTTACATTATTGTTACATTGTATTGCATTCTCTGACTCTGCCCCTGGTAGGGATTATTAATCTTTATATTCTTGTTACATTGTACTGCATTCTCTGACTCGGCCCCTGGTAGGGATTATTAATCTTTATATTCTTGTTACATTGTACTGCATTCTCTGACTCGGCCCCTGGTAGGGATTATTAATCTTTACATTCTTGTTACATTGTACTGCATTCTCTGACTCTGCCCCTGGGAGGGATTAGTAAACTTTACATTATTGTTACATTGTACTGCATTCTCTGACTCTGCCCCTGGTAGGGATCAGTAAACTTTACATTATTGTTACATTGTACTGCATTCTCTGACTCTGCCCCTGGTAGGGATCAGTAAACTTTACATTCTTGTTACATTGTACTGCATTCTCTGACTCGGCCCCTGGGAGGGATTAGTACATTTTACATTCTTGTTACATTGTACTGCATTCTCTGACTCTGCCCCTGGTAGGGATCAGTAAACTTTACATTATTGTTACATTGTACTGCATTCTCTGACTCGGCTCTTGGAAGGGATTAGTACATTTTACATTTTTGTTTCATTGCATTGCATTCGCTGACTCTGCTCCTCGTAGGGATTAGTAAACTTTAGATTCTTGTTGCATATTGTACTGTATTCTCTGACTCTGCCCTTGGTAGGGATCAGTAAACTTTACATTATTGTTACATTGTATTGCATTCTCTGACTCTGCCCTTGGTAGGGATTATTAAACTTTACATTATTGTTACATTGTATTGCATTCTCTGACTCTGCCCCTGGTAGGGATTATTAATCTTTATATTCTTGTTACATTGTACTGCATTCTCTGACTCGGCCCCTGGTAGGGATTATTAATCTTTATATTCTTGTTACATTGTACTGCATTCTCTGACTCGGCCCCTGGTAGGGATTATTAATCTTTACATTCTTGTTACATTGTACTGCATTCTCTGACTCTGCCCCTGGGAGGGATTAGTAAACTTTATATACTTGTTACATTGTACCGTATTCTCTGATTCTTTCACGATGTCCTATTTGATGAATTCCCATTAGATTTGTTATATGTAGCGTTGTTTGAGTCCCATTAATATAAACATGTTTGAGAGGCTCCCGAAGTTCCTGGGATGTTACATAGTTACATAGTTACATAGCTACAAAGAGACTTGCGTCCATAAAGTTCAGCTTTCCTCACATTTGTTTTTTGCTGTTGATCCAAAAGAAGGCAAAAAAAAACAGTTTGAAGCACTTTCAATTTTGCAACAAGCTAGGAAAAAAATCCTTCTTGACCCCAGAATAGCAGTCAGATTTATCCTTGGATCCATCAGCTATTACCCTACATTGAAAGATTATATCCTTGAATATTCTGTTTGCATCTAGTAGCTGTTTGAACATCTGTATGGACTCTGATAAAACCACTTCTTCAGGCAGAGAATTCCACATCCTGATTGTTCTTACAGTAAAAAAACCTTTCCTTTACCTTAGACGAAATCTTCTTTCTTCTAGTCTAAACCTTGTGAATCCGGTTTGTGAATAGATTTCCACACAATGGATTGTATTGGCCCCGAATATATTTGTATAATGTTATCATATCCCCTCTCAGGCGACGTTTTTCTAAACTAACTAGGTTTAAATTTGTTAACCTTTCTTCATAGCTGATATGTTCCATTCCTTTTATTTATTTTGTAGCCCGCCTCTGCACTTTTTCTAGTGCCATAATATCCTTCTTTAGAACAGGTGCCCAACGTTGCACAGCATATTCAATAAGGGGTCTTACCAGTGATTTATAAAGAGGCAAAATTATATTCTCGTCCCGAGAATGAATGCCCTTTTTCATGCATGACAATACCTTACTGGCCTTGGCCACTGCTGATTGACATTGCACATTGTTGCATAGTTTGTTGTCTATAACAATTCCCAAGTCCTTCTCGTGTGTTGTTATCCCTAATTCGCTTCCATTAAGGGTATACGTTGCTTGTGTATTCTTTACGTCGAAGTGAATGACTTTGCATTTTTCAGCATTAAATTTCATCTGCCATTTGAGTGCCCAGTCTCCCAGTCTATCTAAATCCCTCTGCAGCAAAGTAATATCTTGCTCACATTGTATTACTTTACAGAGTTTTGTGTCATCTGCAAACACTGAAACATGATTTTCAATGCGTTCTTCAAGATCATTTATAACCATGTTAAATAGAAGGGGTCCCAGAACAGACCCCTGAGGGACACCACTTACCACTTTTGTCCAGATTGAATATTTACCATTAATGACAACTCTTTGTACTCTGTTTTTAAGCCAATGTTCTACCCAAGAACAAGCATTTTCATCTAGATGTAGTGCTGTACTGAATGAGAAGTTCCATTCTGTACATTGAATAGCCAGACCCACTATAATGGCTGCCCTGGCACACATAATGTGTGTACTATATCACTGGATTTTTTTGCCTGCCTGAAAGTGACATTTCCTCCCAGTGCCTATCCAGTCTATAACCTTCTAATCCCACATTTATTGAGAACGCCGACCGTGTAATGTCCTGCATATTTTGACCGTGTAAATGTGTGTGACCAGGATTTAGAAGAGTTGGCTAAGATGCGTTTCATTTTCTCCACAGAGCGTCTCCTTCTTACAGCGTTTGTGATCCGTGGAAGCAACGTCCACCTACCATCGCCATGGCTGACTGAGTCTGTCTGGAACATCAGGATACATGAGCTCTGCTTTCTTCATTGTTTACTTTTACTTGGTCTACTGGACACTCTTTAAAGAGACAATGTAGGGCTGTTATACAGATGATCAATGAAAACAAAGAACAAAAAGAAAAAAACACTCACCTTTAACGTTCCTAAAACCGCCAAATGCGCAGCAGACACATCCCTCCACCAATCCGCTACTTCTTATTAAAGTTTGGGATCTGTTCTTTTCCCACAAAGATCTGCCCAGCTGGAGTTTACGGGACAAGGTCTTTAAACTGTGCACAGGATAAAGGGAACTGCTCTGGAAGTTGATGGCAGCCAAACCGTGGCGGCCAACAGCAACCTATTAACATCTTCATTACAGCTTTGAGAATGCTGTGGCTAGGGCTTTCTCCGTCAGGCATTTGCTCAGACTGCGAAGCACAAACGGGACAGATATTGTCTAATGTAAACTCCTCCTTCACAATGACTGATTATACGTTATACGTGCTGTGTGCTGGGCTTATCATTACAACCTGCGCAATGAGAACTAATTGTTATGGAGCTTAAAGCAACCTTTTAATATGGATTAAATGTCATTTTCATTTAGTATTTTTCACTGTTTTTATTTTGGTTGTATTTTTTACCACTTTTATACCTTGGAGGGGGAGTTACAATATTTATTTATTTATAAATTGTTTTACCGCTTATATTATATTGAAATATTTGTCATTATCAATAAATTATTTTCCGTCTACTATTAACTGCTTAATTCATTGTTTTATTTCCTAAACATGGAATATAAATGGAAAAAACAAAAGAATAAAGTGTCCCGAAACAAGACTATTCCATAAAACCACGAGAAATGCCTTAATGTACATAATTTTCACTAATCATATGCTGCCTGTGACCCCTAAAATAAGTGAAATACAATGATGGAAAAATCATAAATAGATTTATATTTGTCTTTTTACATCATATACTGTGTACTGATTGAGATGCCAAAAACCTTTGTACTCTTTGTGTGCATAGACTGCAAGCTCTTGGGCTGAGAGATCCTGATGCAAAGCTAAAATGCCAGATTTTGAGACATGATTTCTGTGTGGCAGTTCTGACATTGAATAAATGTTCCATTTCCACAACACATGTGTATATATAATATAATCTATTTATATCCCCGATGCTCCTCCGGCGCAGCGTACAAACATCGCCGCTCTATCCATTTCGGAACAAGTACTTTTTGGGTTTATGCACACATCTGAATTCCTAAACGTGTGGTTACCTGTGAAGATAAATGTTGTGCAGTGCTGTTATAGAGGTGCCATCTCCATGGAAACCAAAGTAATATTCTGCCATTTAGTCTCGTTTTAGATGTTTGCCCCAGAATGACCCTGTCTGCAGATCTATGTATATCTGAAACTATATATATATATCTATATATATATTTATATATATAGATATATATATATCCATATCCCTTTATCTGTATATCTTGAATCTCTATAGATCTCCATATATCTCTCTGTATATCTCTCTGTATATCTGTATTGTTCCAGCACATCCCACAGACAGGGATTGAAATCAGATTGAGATCTGGGGAATTTGGGGGCCTCAAATCATTCCTGAACAATGTTAGCAATGTGGCAGGGTGCAGTATCCTGCTGAAAGTTACCCCTGCCATCAAAGAATAGCATTGCCATTGTAACGATACCTTACCTTTACCCTCTGGACCCGCGCATCGCAGCGTTTTCCCTTGCTGCTTCCGGGAGGCGGCACAGTCTGTCTGACGCTGGCCGCTCGCGGCACGTCTCTTCTTATGACGCGGCGCATGCGTGCCGAAGTCATAAGAATATTGCAGCGGAAATTCAAACGTGGCCATGCTCCCGAACCTTTGGGGGGCGTGGCTTTAAAGTAAAAGACACCTCACTATAATGGGGCGCCCCTGTCCTTCCTTCATGCGCCCTAGTGTGGTTCTTGTATGTTCCCTCTAGTACTCTTGAGATTTTTGTCTGTTTTCTGGTATACTGACCCTTGGCTTTCCTTACTGACTACTGTCCTCTCTGGTTCCCCGATTATTGGCTTGGTTATTTCTCGTGTATTCCAATTTCTGTACTCCCTCGACCTCTGGCTATTCCTTTGACTATTGAGGTTGAACCCGGCCACCCTAAGGTTTGGTATACGTCTCTTTCTGGGTTACTCTCTGCGTGAAGGGGTCACAGTCGTGACAGCCATGAAGGGGTTAACATGGTCTGCAACAATCTCTAGATAGGTGGCACATGTAACATCCACATGAATGCCAGAACCCAAGGTCTCCCAGCTGAACATTGCCTTCATCAGCCTGCCTTCTTCCCATAATACATCCTGTTACCATCTCTTCCCCAGGTAAACAATGCACAAGCACCCGGCCATCCACCTGATTTGAATGAAAACCTTATTCGTCAGACCAAGCAACCTTCTTCAATTGCTCCACGTCCCCATTGAAGGCGCTTTCAGCACTGAACAGGGGTCATCATGGGCACTCTGACCCCTTTCTATCATGGCCAGCATTATGTTTTTCAACAATTTGACCTACAGTAGCTCTCCTGTGTGATTGGACCAGTTGATTCACTGGTTGTCCTTCCTTGCACCACTTTTGGTAGGTACTAACCACTGCATCACAGGAACACCCCACAAGACTTGCCATTTTGGAGATGCTCAGACCCAGTCTGTAGCCATCACTATTTGGCCATTGTCAAAGTCACTCAGATCTTTTCATTTGCCCATTTTTCCTGCTTCCAACACATGTAATTCAGCACTGACTGTTTACTTGCAGCCTGACTGTTCCCTTGCTGACATGTGCCATTGTAACAATATAATTCAAGATTTTCAAGTCATGACGTCCGAAAATATAGATTTTATTAAAGACAGGAGGTTCGTATTATGCATTAACTTTCTTTACTTAACTTCAGCAGGAAAGACATTTTTTCAATAAAGTTCAGAGAATAAAAGACAAAAAAAACAGAGTAACAAAGATGGAACACTCTGTAGCCAATCAGCATCCGGCATAGTCTATATAGTGAATGATCCCCAATATCCGTCCTCTTTCGAGCTGCGAATCTAGAAGAAGTATCTAGTAAACTCCAAGGATAAGAACGACAAAACTCCAAACAGGATCAAGCTGAAACATAAAGAACAGGGTGGCTTAATGGGAGGGATAATACTTGCCTCCTGTCTGTAATAAAATCTATATTTACTGACATCAAGACTCGGAAAATCTTGAATTTTGTAGCAAGACAGGAGGCTCGTATTATGCATGTTAAAAGCTGAATAATCATATAAATATATATCAAATACATTGTTAAGATATTACAATATTACATGCATGCTAGGTCTAAAATAAAACTGTTTAAATGTAGATTCAGAAGACCTATCTGCAGTTTTTAACAGGTCTGATAAAGAGCCTCCTGCTTGAAACTTCTATGATAGTTGAGATTCCCTTCCAGAAATTTGTAAGTTTTTGACATGACCACCATGTGTGGAGCATTGTCCCGGATGCGTTTAAGCACCTCCAACACGTCCCTGATTTTGTGCGGTTAAGGTGCTGCAATCTAGCTGGATAAGGATAATGAGTCATTGTCACCCCACGATTCTATTAACTGAAGTACCAGAGTAACATCCCAAGTATTATAATATTTAGGGCATGGAGGACGCTTAAATCTGACACCCTTCATAAGTCTGTAGAATAAGGGATGTTTGCCCACAGGGAAAAATTCAATAGGGTCGTGATTTGCTGAGATAGCTGATCAATAGACATTAATGATGCGATAAGCCTTGCCTGAGTCAAACGAGGCTGACAAAAAATGTAGAATGTTTGCTAAATCTGAATGTACGGGATCCACAGCCCGTTCCATGCACCAATTAAGCCAGATTTTCCAGGCTGGTCTGTAATTTGCACGAGTACCTGGTGCCCATGCTTCTGAGAGAATGTCTCTATTTGAGTTTCAAAATTCACTACGAGATTCGTATGACCCGAGATGAGAGATGCTATAAAGGTAGTTATAGGTATTACTAGAGGATGAAGATTTCCCTCCAAATCGTGAAGAGCATCCCGACGCATCTGTATGAGTTGTGGGTAGTCTGTCAGCATGCTGAGAAGCTGAGGGAACCATGGTTGTGATGGCCAGAGAGGGGTTATTACCACTAGGGTTGACTTCTGAGATCATGCTTTTTTAGAGGTACCCGGGATATCATCGCAAAGGGGGGAAATGCATAATTAACTCTGTCTTTCCAGCATTGGAGAAATGTATCCTGATCTGCTGCCTCTGGATCCAGATGCCAACTGAACATTTTTTCTAATTGGCGATTGAGTCGTGATGCAAAGAGGTCGTATTAAAACGGCCCCCACAAGGAAAGTAGTCATTGGAAGATGTTGGGATTCAACATCAAGTCACTGTAATCCACTAGGAAATGGGAATTCCAATCTGCTACTGAATTGGAAAGGCCAGGAAGATATTCTGCTCGTAAAACTAGGTTCGATCGAAGCAAAAGTGCCAAAAATCTTTGGCAATGTCTGCCAGTTGCTTGGATTTTGTACCTCCTAAGCGATTTATGTATTGGACTGCTGATATGTTGTCCATCTTAAGAAGAATACAAAAATTTGATTTTTGTTTCGCAAAGCTGCGTAGAGCGAAAAATCCTAATATGAGTTCCAGACAGTCAGATTCTATAATCAGATCTGGGAATGAAGTGATAATGGCTTTCCCGTTCCAAATTTGAATGTGATCTAACCACCAAAATAGTTCTGTTCTTGTCCCTAGAGTCAAAGAGATCTCTTCTGAATAAAGATGACCGTTGTGTAGATGTTCCCTTTTTAATCTTTGAAGAGCTCGATAATGAAGGAAGGCCTGGAAAAATCGCTTGAATCGAGGCTGATAAAAGATCTACAATCTGTGCCAGAGATTTGAGGGAAATTAATTCCTTGTTCAGAACTGACCTGATCTCTTTCCGAATCGTTTTCAATTTCCATGATGGAAGACTGAGAGTAGCTAAACTGGAATTCACTAGAAATCCCAAAAATTCTATCTCCTGAGAGGGAGTGAAAATCGATTTCTCGTAATTTATTACAAAGCCAAGGCTTGTTAACAGATTCAATGTACACTGAGAATGTAGTTGAAGAGTTTGCACACTCTGTGATATAATCAATATGTCATCTAGATAGATTATCATTCCCACTCCCCTGCTTCGAAGCAGGGATACTACCGGTTTGAGCAATTTGGTGAAACACCAAGGTGCAGAGGATAATCAAAATGGCAATGATTTGAATTGTCATTTCTTCCCTTCCCATATGAATTGTAAATAATTCTGACATGAATGGTGAATAGGAACCGTGAGGTATGCATCCTTCAAATCTATTTTGATCAACCAGTCGTTGAGTATCAATAGGTCTTTGAGATAATAAATTCCCTCCATTTTGAAATGGTGGTATCTGACAAAATTGTTCAAATATTTTAAATTCATGACTGGTCTGTGACCAGAATCTTTCTTTTTCACCAAGAATAAATTGCTTATGAAGCCTGGACTGTTCATGGGCACCTGCATGATGGCATTTTTTGAGCATAAATGTAATATTTCTTGATGGACCAGAGCTTGGTCTTGGATTGAAAATGTTATCAGGAAAGGTATTTTTCTTTGAACGGGATATGATATAAAATCTATTTTGTATCCCAGAACAGTGTCTAGTAGCCAAGAATCGTTTGTAATCTGACTTTAAATGTGGAAATAATGTGTGAGTCTGCCCCCTAACCCTTCTAGGGAAGAAAGGGGAATTGTTGTACTTACCGGATGAAGATCTGAAGCGGGACATTCCCCGATGGCCTCTTGATCTCCAAGGTCTGCCACGTAGTGGGAGGAATGGAGTTGTTTGTTGGGTGTTAAATGAGGGCCTGGTGGGCTGAAAGGTGTTTCTTGGAACCTGTCTATCTTGAAAGGAGCGGCTGGAAGAGCGGTTCCTTCCTCTTCCAGCCCTTTCAAAAACCTTAGGGTTTAATACTTTTCTCAGAGATGACTGAGCCTTATCAAGGGAGCTAAATAAATTGACATATTAATTAATGTTTTTAATAAAGGATTCTCCGAATAAGAGAACTTCAGCGGCTGGTTCAGGTTCAGAAGTGGCTAAATTCGACAATTGAGGGTCAATTTTTATTAAAATAGACCTGCGGCATTCGCTGGTCAGAGCTGCGTTGGCATTCCCCAAAAAGCATACAATGCGTTGGGTCCAACCTCTCAAAGTATCAATGCTGGGAGGAATTCCAGAAGCTGCAGCTTGGTCTAAAGTCTCAAACATTTTTGCCACAGGACCAGATATGTCCATTAATTTATCTTGACAAGATTTTAGTGATCTGTCAAGTCCTTTACTTGGGTTCTTCCCTGATTTTGTTAAAAATTGCACAATAGTGGGATCTAGATCAGGGGTCTGTGTGACTTTCATAGATAGAGTCGAATTAAGCACCCTAGGTCAGCTGAATGGGTCCCTCTGGCTCATGTAGCCAAATATCTTGAATGCTGGTTGAGGACACCCCTTGACCAAGCGGCTAGAAATAAGAGCTTAATGCCCTTTCATAGATAGAGTCGAATTAAGCACCCTAGGTCAGCTGAATGGGTCCCTCTGGCTCATGTAGCCAAATATCTTGAATGCTGGTTGAGGACACCCCTTGACCAAGCGGCTAGAAATAAGAGCTTAATGCCCTTTCATAGATAGAGTCGAATTAAGCACCCTAGGTCAGCTGAATGGGTCCCTCTGGCTCATGTAGCCAAATATCTTGAATGCTGGTTGAGGACACCCCTTGACCAAGCGGCTAGAAATGCCCCAAGCTCTAATTTCTAGCTGCTTGGTACTTAATATGGTCTGGATCAAATAATGGTTTCACATTAACAACCATTATAATATTCTCTTCATCAGATTTAGAGAGAAGCTCAGGTGCCTCTGAAACAGATGAATTATTTGAGGCAGAATCAGATTTTTCATCTTTTGAGTTTGAAGATGAGTCATCTTTCGAGGAGGTTTTATAGGAGTCAGGTTTGCTCCTGTGAATGGCCTTCCGTGCTCGTCTGTCTTCCTCACGAGCAGAGGGTCTTTTGGCTGATTGATTGCACTCTTCAGTTTTGCGTGAGACACGCATTTTGTTCTGATCTTGGTCCTTCCCCATCTTATGTGACTTGGAACAGCCAAGGGGATTCTAAAGGACGGTCAAAGCAGTGTTTGCATTTTTGGGTGGCCTTCCCAGACCTCCTGAATCCCTGAGCTAAATTCCGTCCACAGATGACCAGAATTGGTCTGAAGGAATATTAATTAAGTGAGTCTTATCACTAGGGTTTGAATTGCTTATGGCCTGAGCCACAGACTTTGCAATTCCTTGTTGCATGGAAGATATTGAAGTATAAATTGCAGATTCAATTGATTTGTGAACTGATAAGTCTACAATATTTTGTAAAGAATCCTCAGTGAGGATTTCACAGTTATGAGTAGCACCAGGTTTTGGTGACTGAGAAGGAGTTTGTCTAATTTCTTTAGAATTCATTGTACAATATTGCAACAAATTATAATTTATAATTACTATTAGTAAATGGCAAAATAATGTTGCAAAAGGTTATGTAAAATCCTGACAGGAAAGTCATATAATTTCAAACTTATAATAATTACCAACAAAGAGCAACAAAGTTGTGGAGAAACGCCGTGCTGAGGTAAAGTGGGCGGGAAAGTTAGCTGAGAACCAACTAACGTGAATTCCCGCCAAATAATATCATCATCAATCTATGAGGGACTAACTGGAAACGCGCGGTCAGCGATTCGCATGAAAAACTGTCGAAATAAACTGAACAGTGAAATACATGTTCGTACACAAAATCCACGAACGTGAGTATAATAAACAAATACAAAAAAAATCGAATCCCCACGATTCGCGAGAAAACTACAGAACGCAGGTCATTCGAAATAAGTGAAAAGTAACAATTCATATGAAAACTACCGAACGCGGATGAACCGCAAACTCACTTCGGATGAAAAGGTGCGAATGCCAGTGTGTGTGAACCAAATATATATATTAAACAAAAATATATGTGAAAATATATAAAATTACTTCAGAAAACATACAACATAAAGGAATAAATATATATACAAATATATTAAACCAAACCAGAAAGTATTCTTATAGAAAACAGTAGCATACATGAATATATTTGACACTTATCTCTACTGGAGCAGCAAAGAAAGAGGAAGAGTTTTGGGGATCATTCACTATATAGATATGCCGGATGCTGATTGGCTACTGAGTGTGCCATTTCAGTTACTCTGTTTTTCAGTTACCCGGCGCTGGTGGCGGCTCAAGAGCCGCTCGCCCTTCTCTGTGGCCCCAGATAGGGGGAGCCCACCTGAAAATATCCCGGTAGGCGCTCCCAGCTGGCTGGCACCCTAGGCGAATGCCTAGTTCACCTAATGTTTGCGCCGGCCCTGCATCTATGGGATGTGCTGGAACAACAAATCCGATCTGTAGAAGCCCCACCTCGCAACAAGAAAGGACTTAAAGGATCTGCTGCTAATGTCTTGGTTCCAGATAGCACAGGACACGTTCAGAGATTTTGTGGAGACCATGTCTTGACATATCAGAACTGAAATGTTTTGGAAGCACAAGGAGGAACTACACGATATTAAGCAGATGGTTTAATGTTGTTGCTGATAAGTGTATATCTCTCTTTATCTCTATATGACTATGTATCTCTATTTATATATCTGTCTCTCTCTCTCTCTCTATATATATATATATATTATTATTATTATCGCCATTTATATAGCGCCAACAGATTCTGTAGCGCTTTACAATATTGTGAGAGGGGGGATTTAACTATAAATAGGACAATTACAAGAAAACTTACATGAATGATAGGTTGAAGAGGACCCTGCTCAAACGAGTTTACAGTCTCTAGGAAGTGGGGTATAAAAAAACACATTAGGACAGGAAATAGCAATCAAATCGGGTGGGAGTGAAGCAGAGCTGGAGGAGAGTAAAGTGCTGCCCTTTAGGTTACTCTGGGAGGCCTCGCCACTGGTTTTTGGGGAGACTGATTGCCAGCCTCGTGCCTTGGGACTATGGCCCCTGGGAGATTGGGCACTTTAAAAACAGTCTTGGGGCTAATGGACTTCTATTGGACTGTGTATGGCCCTTGCTAAACTTTAGCTCCATGGTGATTTTGTTCTGTTCGTGGGATCTGAGCGCTGTGTGGATATATTGAGCGCTCAGAACCAAGCTATCTGGGTTCTGTTCAGTATGATAGAAATTATCCTCCCTCTAATCCTAGAGGGACCTGGCACCCAGACCACTTCATTAAGCTGAAGTGGTCTGGGTGCCTAGAGTGGTCCTTTAAGTAGGGGACTTACTCCTCCCACAAATTCAGGCCTAATGGCCTTTCTGCTTGTGCTCGGAATTTAATTTAATATGTAATGGATAGTATCTGGAAAGGAAAAGTTGGTTGTGGTGTGCCGAAACCAACGTACGAGTGGGTATATGGAGGATTTCCATCGACCCAGTCTCTTGATGATGTGGACCGGGTGTTTGTGTTAGAGGCTGATGAAGCGGCTCCTATGCGGAAGGAGTGCCTGGAGAATGAAGCCGGATTGTAACCCAGTTTAGATAGTAATGTTCTGACGTGTGTCGTGAATTTAGCCGTGGTGAGAGGGTGCCCTTGTAGTGATAAGAGCGGAGCGTCTGGTAAGTGCGTGTGATGGGTTGACCGTAGGTGGTCTAGCACCTTGACCGGACACCAGGCGTTATCGGTAGGAAAGAGAGGAATGATGGTGGGGTGTTGTGAGTGATTAGTTTTTTGTTGATGGGAGCGTAAGTACGTAGTGATCTTCCACCTGTGAGGTGTGAAGGTGTGAGGTGTGTTTTGAGGCTGTGCGTGGTATCCCCTTGGCAAACAACGGTGAACTCTCTGGGTCTGAGAAAACCGTAGAAAGCAAGATAAATAGCAGATTTAATCACCAGACTTGTGTTGGGATTGAACGGAGAGTCGTCAAGGAGATTACTGAGTGATCTAAAGATAGGCCCATCTGTAGGCAGTCTGGTAGTGGTAAGTGGCACAGAAACCCTTAATATACCTTTCAAGACCTTTTTAATGGGATATGATGAAAAGAAGGGGGTATTGTTAGGAAAATTGGTGCTGAACCCCGGTGAGGTAAAGTTTTGTGAGAAAGTTTAAGATGTAAGTGGCAGAAGGAGGCAAAAGCCCATGGTTTGGGTAGAAAAGTCACCTTGTAAACCGAAATGGTAAGTGCCCTATTGTAGGAGATAGCTGTGTTAGGTGATAGTGCTTGGTGAGTGAGAGTCCTAGCGTGGTGCATTAGTGCACTCAATCCAGGATTAGTTCGTGAAATCAGGGTGTCCTGGACGGCTGGTGGTGAGCCGTAGGGAGTGCCTGGAAGAATACCTGGAATTGAGAGCGAGAAAGAGCGTCAGCAGCCGTGTTGTGGATTAATGCTGGGAACAAAAGAGGAGTGCGGTGCCGATAAATCGATAATTAGCCGTTTTTTTATTAGAATACTTGTGTACTGTGACACCAATGGGATTAGTGCGCCAGGAGGAAAACGGTGAGGAGGTGAAGGGGCCGATCATGAAACCGTTAGAAACTTCGGAGGAAAGGAGAGTTTCTGTGGAAACTGGATCTTGGCATGCTGACAAGAGGTTGGGACATTCTAGTGTGCCTGAGGGGATGGCTACAAGACCCATGAAGAAACCCTGTGTGAACCGCTTGGTCAAATACTCCACCAGATGCCTGCTTGGGTGTGTTCTTAGGTAAAAAACCAGGTTGTCGACATTGATGTCGGTTAGTCATTTGTTAGGGGACAACCTGGCCGGGCACATGGTCTTGGTATGTGTTCTAAAGCATATGGAGCAGATGTGCAACAATCTACAGGTGCTGAAACTGCAGGAGCCTGCGTTGAAATTATTGCACACCTGAGCTTTACCTAAAAAGGAGATGGGCCTACCCAGCTTATCCCGCTGACCACCCGCTGGTTTGCTGTGAGGAGTGAAAGTGGGTTGAGGGGTGGTAGTGGAGATGGTAGGATCGGCTTCAGAAGGGCATAAGTCCGCCGTATAGGATGTAGAATTACATACGGCGCAAGACGGGGGGCCTGAGACCAGCGAAGTGGCGACAGAATAATTCTGTATCCATCTGACACCAGTTAATTCTGACATTAAACTGTTTCAGATGGGTCGCCGCCTTCGCTGATACCGACTTATGATAATCGTAAAACGAAGAGCCCCCGTACTTGATACCCAAATCCACCACCTTGTGAAGATAGAGGTCTAGCTCCTCTCTTCTGTGGGGATACACCGTGCAGATGACATCACGGTATATCCCAAAGGCTATCACAAACTAGTTTCTTGTTTAGCCTAGGGTCTCTAGTCTTAAGCACCACTGAGATGTCCCCGTAATTGTATGCCCTGTTCTCCAGTACGTCTTGGGAGGCTATAAGCAGAGACACCAGACACACATCCTTCCTGTCTAGGATTTCTTTCCTGATGGAGTCTGGGATGGAGTGAGCTGGTGACTCGAAAGGAGATGTAGCTGTGCCTGGTGCTGGAGAGCCTGTGTGATGAATAGAGAGAAGATGTCGTATTATCGCCTTCTTTATTGGTTGCGTGATGAGCAGAATGGTATCCGAAGATCAGATAAACTCTCTATACAGATCCCAGCTACAGACTGCTATGCTTCTATAGGAGTCTATCTGACCTACTCCAGGGACGCTGTGAGGCCTTCTGGGGGGATATGATATGTCTATAAAAATATATTAATCTGAGTGGTTTATTATATTGGATAATAATGTAAAACACAGACTAGACAATACACAATAACCTGTATATATTGTAAATACTGCTGTTGCTGGGGGGAGAGGGGAGTGGAGAGTGTGGTTACCTTGGAAACAAAACGAAGCCGGTACGTAGCAATTCTAAAAAAGGGGGTTTATACACACCGCAAACCCTACGAGATTGAGGGGGGGGTTTAGGTACATACGAAAAAGTTAACAAACCGATCCCCGAGGTGCCGTAGCGTGGAGACCGTAAGTGGTCTCAGCTAAAGGTTACCGTGATTCCGTGTGCGTTCTGGTCCCCCGATAAGACCACCGAGCGGCGTGGAGGGGACCGGAAAGTGGATGTAAGTATGACTCACAGTTAGCTGTCACCTGGGATCGCCGGAAGCCGTATACCGCACCGGGGAGAAACCGGACCGCAGGAACAGACGGAGGATTTTGTCGGAGACTGCAGCTGTAGATAGGATGCCCGGACCGGAAGTCAGTCAAACCGGAAGTCAATCAGCGACAATCAACTTGATCGGCAGAGGTGAGTAGGGCCTGGGAGTTTGGGTGCCAGGTCCAGCTAGGATTAACCCATTTTTTTTATAAACATAGCAGTTTCAGAAAAACTGCTATGTTTATAAATGGGTTAATCCAGCCCTCAAATCCTCTAGTGGCTGTGTCACTGACAGCCGCTAGAGGCGCTTGCGTGCTTCTCACTGTGAAAATCACAGTGAGAACACGTATGCGTCCATAGGAAAGCATTGTAAATGCTTTCCTATGAGACCGGCTGAATGCGTGCGCAGCTCCTGCCGCGCATGCGCATTCAGCCCAGGAGGAGGATCGGAGAGGTGGAGGAGAGCTCCCCGCCCGGCGCTGGAAAAAGGTAAGTTTTTACCCCTTCCTCTCCCCAGAGCCCGGTGGGAGAGGGACCCTGAGGGTGGGGGCACCCTCAGGGCACTATAGTGCCAGGAAAACGAGTATGTTTTCCTGGCACTATAGTGGTCCTTTAAGTATAATGGCCTTTCTACATACGATCTCTGTATATCGCTCTCTCTGTATATAAACAAAATCTCTGTATATCTCTCTGTGTATATATAATCTCTGTATATATAATCTCTGTAAATCTCTCTCTCTGTATATATACAATCTCTGTATATTGCTTTCTGTATATATAATCTCTGTATATATACGATCTCTGTATACCTCTCACTCTCTGTATGTATAATCTCTGTATATCTCTCTCTGTATCTCTCTCTGTGTATACAATCTCTGTATATCTCTCTGTGTATATAATCTCTGTATCTCTCTCTCTCTGTATATACAATCTCTGTATATCTCTCTCTCTGTATATATATATACACACTCTCTGTATATATAATCTCTGTATATATACAATCTCTGTAGATTTCTCTCTCTGTATATATAATCTCTGTATATCTCTCTTGCTGTGTATACAATCTCTGTATATCTCTCTCTGTATATATAATCTCTGTATCTCTCTCTCGCTGTGTATACAATCTCTGTATATCTCTCTCTGTATATATAATCTCTGTATATCTCTCTCGCTGTGTATACAATCTCTGTATATCTCTCTCTGTATATATAATCTCTGTATATCTCTCTCGCTGTGTATACAATCTCTGTATATCTCTCTCTGTATATATATACAATCTCTGTATATCTCTCTCTGTATATATAATCTCTGTATATCTCTCTCGCTGTGTATACAATCTCTGTATATCTCTCTCTGTATATATAATCTCTGTATATCTCTCTCGCTGTGTATACAATCTCTGTATATCTCTCTCTCTGTGTATACAATCTCTGTATATCTCTCTCTGTATATATAATCTCTGTATCTCTCTCTCTCTCTCTGTGTATACAATCTGTATATCTCTCTCTCTGTATATATATATATATATATATATATATATATACACACACAATCTCTGTATACCGCTCTCTTTATATATAATCTCTGTATCTCTCTCTATATATACACACAATCTCTGTATATCGCTCTCTTTATATATCTGTCACAGTCTGGGACGAGCGTACATCCATGTGATATGAATTTCTTAGAGGCGCACAGAGTAACCCTTTCTGTCTGACAATAGCGGGTCTGTCTGTTGCGCCCCAGGCATAGAATGTAGGCCTTGACCTCTCTACCCAGAAATCATTGTGTCACAGTGTGACGTCACGGAACATAGCATTATTCTGCTGGGGAGCAATTAATAGTCCCCATTGTAATGTGTGTCCAGTTTGTTGGTGGGATGAATGTGAAGGCTGTAAATGGAAATGTCCTGTATATAATTGCATATTTCCTGGACTCCTAAAGGGATTGTAGTAACAATGGAGTATTGATTGCACCACCCTCACTCCTTCAGCATGACCAGGGGTTCATCTGACGCCTGATACCCCTGACAGCTACCTTGTTACCCCGTGCAGCGGAGACCATGGGATCTATTGATTTCTGTGGCAGATTCAGTCAGGGTGGACCTGGTCTAGTACAAACATTGAGTAAAACAAGGACATTTAGTGATTCTCTGGTTTATGCACTTAGAAACCATAACCTTTACCCCCTAAACACAGAGTTGGGGTGAATTGAGAAATGGAGTATTTTAAAGCCACGTTTTTCCTAACACAATTTTATATATTGCAATTCAGTGTTCGGTTAACAGCAATTCTGTGTTTAGTGAATAATCCCCAATTGAAGAAAGCACGTAGTGCACCTATATTTTTAATTTTAGTAATTACAAGAGCTGAGTATTTTGCATTAAACTCTCTTTACTAAACTCCAGCAGCACAGATTTAACAATAAAATTTAGTGAAAAAAAAAAACATTGCAGCAGGGTACAAAAGGCACTTCCTCTATCTTATATCTGATGCGATATAACCATAAACACATCCTGTAAATACAATAAACAACGATAACAATGAAGATTCAGACGATCCGAATCCCGAATGGATGATTATCGTAGAGTGTGAAGACGATCCCATGTATCGATCCACGAAGAAGAATCAAACTGAAAAGAAACAAAAGACGTGAAAGGGAATTGGAAATTAACTGTTTGTCATAAATAATAATAATGGATAATAATCACAATCTCAAGATGTGTGATATAAATAAACCACAGAATAATGAAATAAACACACCCCCCTGAATTCAAATCTTTATGGAAGTACAAACCAATGAATCATATAAACAGGGAGGGGAAAAAAGGTTGGGAAGATACTCGCCTCCAGTCCTTAATAAAATTAAGATTATAGGTACACTGCGTTCGCATAATTTACAATTTTATAACATGACAGGAGGCTTCGTATTTTGCATTTTTAAAGCTGTGGATGAAGAGCAAAAAGCATGAGAAATATGACGAAATGAACAAACACGGAATGCACTATCTCTAGTCCAGTCCGCGGATCGCAATATGTCGGTAGGTAGGTAGAGGAGCGGTATGATCTACATATCCTAGTTGTAACAGTCACCAGAGTACTTATGTAACAGTTTACCAGGAGTTGGAGCCCAGTTGCAGGAGATGGCACAAGGAGGAGGCAAAATCCAAAAACACAGTACAGATTAAGGGGTAATCCAAAAGCAGGGTCAGACGAGAAGCAGAAGTCAGGGCTGGCAGCAGAGTAACGTAGTCGGTAAAGCAGGCAGAGGTCAGAATCCAGGAAATCAGTCAGTAGCGAAGCAGAGATCCGGCAGGAAACCCCAAACAGGCAAAATGACCAGATTCTAGGTTTCAGGCAGAGCTGGCTTTTATAGCCTGCTAATTAGATGCAGGTGACCCTAATTGGAAAAGGGTTGCAGGTGGATCAGTACTGTTCATTCCAGGCAAGGGGTCAGGAAGCAGAATAATGCAGACAAAAACTGAAGCCCCCTGGTGGATATCATGGCAGAGAACCTGTTCACAAGGAATCCTAGTGATTCCAAAACACACACTATGAATGAATGAACCTTTGGAACCTTTGGAAGCACCTGCTACCTGTCATCACGGGCATGGAGAAATAAGTGTCCTTCAGATATAGACGTGTGAACCAATCGTTGGCCATTAGGAGATTCCCGTAACAGATGAGTACCTTCCATTTTGAAATAGTGATTGTGACGGTCCAACCCTCTCTGACCGTCTTGGGTTCCCTTTCTCCCAGTAGTTAGTGAATAATCCTTCCAGGCAGGGTGTAGACACAAGCATAGCATAACCCCTAACACACATGAGCCGAGGCTTAATGCTGGGTAGAGATCTGTTTAATGCCACACAAAACAACAGGATTCACGCAGGAAAACCACTCCTGCTCTGAGGAAAACAGGAATCCTAGTAAAAAGGTGTAACCGTTCGTACTCCAATTTACCGCTATAACGTCTTATAACTTAGAATTTAGCAGGGCTAACCATACAGATATCTTAGCTAAATATTGTATAGTCGGTATAGAGTTTCTCTATTTAAAATACATAAATAATTGAGAATACAATAAAAATAGGAGTTGGAAGCAATAACTTTTGTCTTATTAATATAGTTTATTGGATAAATGAATAAAGATCCATTAATATATCATAAAGCAGAGTATACAAGATTAAATGAATAAATGCTTGCAATATAATTAGTATAACATACCCTCCTGATTATACAGGTAATCTCTCAGTATGTCTCTACCTAGCATTGATCTAGCATGTATATATAGTATAGCATTTCTAATTACTACTGGTAATGTATGGGTTAATTCATCTTAGGGTTAAAAGCAGTTCATATATAAAAATAAAAGAAAAACACCCTTATCAGTCTAATGTCATAACCTAGACATCTTTAATCTGTATTTGGACTAGACGTTAGGATGACATAGGCAAAACCTTGAATTGTTATTGCATTAAATTAAGACAAGATGGAGTAAACATGTTGTGTACTGTAAATAGGTAAAAGGTTATTAGTTAAAGAAACAGTTGCAGTTTAAAGAAATACAATGTAGCAATGTGTATTATACCCACAATTGCCCATCACACCCTCCTGTTTAAACTGAGGGTTTCTTTGAAGAATATTTTTTCTTTCTTTGCTTAACCCCTCCCTGCTCATGTAAGGGAGGGGACTGTGGTGAATAGGACACAGTGAAAGGGACAGGAATGAAACAATTACAATCATATATACCTGTGTGATTGCACATTATGTCATCGTGATCAGTACGTAAATAATAAAATTCACCTGGCATATAATGTGTTATGTCATTTTGAGTAAACTCTTTTCTCATGTCAGTTTTCCAGATTCCACCCCAGCATTTATTAAAATTTCGTGTACACACCATAACTGTTGTGATCCCATATGCACCATGAGAGACAATGTTAATATGACCAATATCTTTTATTAAAGCATATAGCTGGAATATCTCTTTAGCTCGATCCATGCATTTAATGGATGGTTGATTGTAGTGAGTCAAAAGAGCTGTTGTCTGACAAAAATTTAAGAAGGTCATCAAATCCCTCGGTAGTATATTCATGGCTAGATCATGAAAGGAGAAGCATGTCAAAGTCATCAATTGCCTGTTGTAATCCAAGTTTCTGGGGTGCATTTGTGGTGGTGGTGATTGTTTTGGAGCGTCTGGATACCGAGTTAGTATTGGTAGCAGGTATTCCTTTAACATCATTGGTTGCCATAAGGACACTGGCACCTTTGCTCTTGGTGTTTGTCTTTGCATGTTTCTTCTTCTGTGATACATTTTTACACCTCCTATAATGTGTATAGATTGGATATATGTAATGATAATTGTTCTGATATTTCTTTATAGAAACAAAACCTTTGTTAGGTCTAAAGATATATGGGTTATTGGAATCAGCAAAATAGTTATGGCAATTCCTACATTGGTATTTAAAATAATATTGTCCTGGTACAATTTCTTTAAAAGTTAAGATTGCTCTTTTATGCAAAATCTCTCTAGATCTTTTTGGTATAGTTGATAATTGAAAACATGTAGAAATGAATTTATTCATGTTTCTTTGCCCTGTGAGGGAGAAAAGAAATGATTCTCCAAGTTACAATTAGTAAAAATATAATAATTATAGTTATCATTATTGGTTTCAAATACCAGAAAATACTAAATCCTGTTCCTATTACCCCTTTAACAAGATTCGCTAAAGATTCAGCTATGCTTTGAACAGTTTTACCAATTGAAGGTAAAATAGGAGTCAATATCTTACCAAGTTCTTTCAGCCAGTATGGGAAATCTCTCTCGTGGTCTTGAATATTGAGAAGAGAAAGCCTAACTCTTATTAATATATCTTGCACTTGCTCGTGGGTGGAGCATAAGGTGATTTTGAGTTGTTGTAAGTGAGCCAAGAAAGCACTCATATATGGAAGTTTTAAAGATATTGGGGGTATGTGTATTTTAACGATATCTGTTAGTTTATAATTTTGTAAAGGAGGTTTTAACAATCTTCCATAACAGTAAATGTCATAATCCGTGGTTACAATTAATGGCTGTAAAGCAGGTAACTTGCAATCTGAATAAGGACTCATAATTAAATAAGAACCATTTCTTAAAGATTCAAAGTACAGATAATCATTTTGTATTGGTTCTATATTAAGTAAGCAATCAGTTGATGTGGCAGGATTGTTTCCACAAGGAGTCTGTACTTTGACATCTTCACATATTACATAACTTTTTTCTAGGCATCTAGAAACAGACAAATAATATATCTGATCACATGTCTTTGATATATATTGATATGGATGTTGTATTGTTATCTTTGCCAACTTTTCACCTGTTTGTAACAGGTGACCTATATTATCAAGCTTCCAATTCGTAGTGTATATTTCACCTGGAAGAGTTAACTCATAATAAATTTTAACTTCCCACTGGCTAACCTTGGCATTGTTTAAATGTTTTGTTTCTCTGATATCATAAACAAAGGTCTGAGAAATGTGCAATAACACTTCGATTTGTTTCTTAGTTAATTTTAACCTTTGAAGCACTTAGTTATGTTAACCAGACTTGTATCAATTAAACCATTTTGTAAATTAGATCGAATATCAAAAATCTTCTGATTCAACATAGATATTTTCACACTTTCTTCTAGTGTAGAAATATCATATATTAATGCTGCAGTAAGCGTTATCAGGTGGTCTTTAAGAATCAATATACCTTGACGTAGCAATTCATCATTTAGATCAGAATAATGGGATACAACTTGAATAGCTTCTACAAGTAATTGGCCGGTATATAGGAAGGAGTTTGCATTGGTTAACAAAGTCCTTCTTCTGCGAGACACACGTCTCATGTTACATTCATCTGGATCACTATTTTGTATATTTTTATATGTAATATCTAAAAATGTTTTATTAGTAGGCCATGCTGCGATTGCAAATGGCATCTCTGCAACATTCTGTAAAGTACAATTCTGAAATTCACAAGGTCTATCTTCATCAGCGATTAAAACATACATTTGAGTTTTTATACCATTAATTACAATATCTGTATTATATATCATACTGTCACTGACACATTTCTGATACAGGGAGTATACTAAATAATTTGCATTAATACTTATCGGTTTCCTCTCGATGCACCACATTCCTGGAAGTCCAGAATATAGCAAAAATCCTTGGTCTATGTTTTTAGGGAGCCATTTAAAGTTCTGATTGGTATAATTATACCAGAGAGAGCAAGGGGCACAACGGTAGATTATAT